TGTTAGCACCACAGCTGTTAGCACCACAGCTGTTAGCACCGCAGCGCAGCAGTTAGCACCGCAGCTGTTAGCACCACAGCTGTTAGTACAGCAGCGCAGCTGTTAGCACCACAGCTGTTAGCACCGCAGCGCAGCTGTTAGCACCACAGCTGTTAGCACCACAGCACAGCTGTTAGCACCACAGCTGTTAGCACCGCAGCGCAGCTGTTAGCACCACAGCTGTTAGCACCACAGCGCAGCTGTTAGCACCACAGCTGTTAGCACCACAGCTGTTAGCACCGCAGCGCAGCTGTTAGCACCACAGCTGTTAGCACCACATCTGTTAACACCACAGCTGTTAGCACCGCAGCGCAGCTGTTAGCACCGCAGCTGTTAGCACCACAGCTGTTAGCACCGCAGCGCAGCTGTTAGCACCACAGCTGTTAGCACCACAGCTGTTAGCACCGCAGCTGTTAGCACCACAGCGCAGCTGTTAGCACCACAGCTGTTAGCACCACAGCTGTTAGCGCCACAGCTGTTAGCACCGCAGCTGTTAGCACCGCAGCTGTTAGCACCATAGCTGTTAACACCACAGTGCTGTAAATATGTAATCTACACTGGTCCTATAAGGACATGTGAACTGGACAATGTGAACGTACCATTAGGATGTGTTGCTTGACTGTGTTGGATTGTGTTGTTGTCCGACTGTGTTGGACTGTGTTGTTGTCCGACTGTGTTGAACTGTATTGTTGTCCGACTGTGTTGGAATGTGCTGTTGTCCGACTGTGTTGGACTGTGCTGTTGTCCGACTGTGTTGGACTGTATTGTTGTCTGACTGTGTTGGTATTGGACTGTATTGTTGTCCGACTGTGTTGGACTGTATTGTTGTCCGACTGTGTTGGACTGTGCTGTTGTCCGACTGTGTTGGACTGTGCTGTTGTCCGACTGTGTTGGACTGTATTGTTGTCTGACTGTGTTGGTATTGGACTGTATTGTTGTCCGACTGTGTTGGACTGTATTGTTGTCCGACTGTGTTGGACTGTGCTGTTGTCCGACTGTGTTGGACTGTGCTGTTGTCCGACAGTGGTAGACTGTATTGTTGTCCGACTGTGTTGGACTGTATGGTTGTCCGACTGTATTAGACTGTGTTGTTGTCCGACTGTGTTAGACTGTGTTGTTGTCCGACTGTGTTGGACTGTGTTGTTGTCCGGCTGTGTTGGACTGTGTTGTTGTCCGACTGTGTTAGACTGTGTTGTTGTCCGACAGTGTTAGACTGTGTTGTTGTCTGACTGTGTTGGACTGTGTTGTTGTCCGACAGTGTTGGACTGTGTTGTTATCCGACTGTGTTAGACTGTGTTGTTATCCGACTGTGTTAGACTGTGTTGTTGTCCGACAGTGTTAGACTGTGTTGTTATCCGACTGTGTTGGACTGTGTTGTTGTCCGACAGTGTTAGACTGTGTTGTTGTCCGACAGTGTTAGACTGTGTTGTTGTCTGACTGTGTTGGACTGTGTTGTTGTCCGACAGTGTTGGACTGTGTTGTTATCCGACTGTGTTAGACTGTGTTGTTATCCGACTGTGTTAGACTGTGTTGTTGTCCGACAGTGTTAGACTGTGTTGTTGTCCGACAGTGTTAGACTGTGTTGTTATCCGACTGTGTTAGACTGTGTTGTTGTCCGACTGTGTTGGACTGTGTTGTTGTCCGACTGTGTTGGACTGTATTGTTGTCCGGCTGTGTTAGACTGTGTTGTTGTCCGACAGACTGTGTAACATAGTGAAGTAGAGCAGAGGTTCACTCCCCATGATTGGGAAACATCCTCAACATATTAGACGGGCCGGATTATCGGACTTTGATCAGAGCTTTCAATTATCGGCTTGCCTGTGTAATCCATACAAAGTGCTTTTCCTGGGAATGCCTCATTTCCAAACAGACATGGAAATGCAGCTCAATTTGATAAAATGATTCAGAGACACTTTGATCAAGTTCGAGTTTAGATTCAGGGTTCAAGTTAGAATTACACTTTAAAGGGGCAATATGCGATTGGTACATATATTTTTGTGATTTTAAATTAATGACAAAAACCCATTGATTATTTTGTTGGCAGATACCCATGGACTTTCAGTCATTGCTCTAACGCTAGTTAGCATTGGCTTGCGAAACTACCTCTAACTTCCTTCATACTGGACATAGACATACAAACGGTATCCACTAGTTCATCTGCCTTTGGGGGAGTAGATAAAGGGCCTCATGGCCAAAATCCTGAAGTATCCCTTTAAATTGGCCACTGGACATCTTCCCCTGACTGGATCGATTCTTCTGTAGTCAAGTGGTTGCATTTTCTCCCCTAAAGGTGAGGATTAGGGGAGGGGAAGCTGATCCTACATCTGTTACTAAGGGACATTTCACCTGGGAGTGATTCAGGTGAAATACCTGCATGTGTGTGCTGTCAGTGCATGTGGATGTGTGCCTTTCATTTCAGAGGGGTCGTTGATTTGTCACTGGTCCAATACTGTCTATCTGGGTAGGTCTAATACTGTCTATCTGGGTAGGTCTAATACTATTTTTTTCCATATGAGAATATCAACCATGTGCTCTCTCCCTTTCTTCACTCTACAGCCAGGAAATCCAGTGACAAAGTTAGTGTGTAAAGCATGCAAGTGTGCTCGTGTAATACGATTGGTTTGTAGGAGTTTACATAATAAGTGTGATGGCATACACATATACTACTACCTACCTAACCAGGATGGAGTGTGGAGTTTGTGTACTAATAGGTAATATACCAACCATTATACTACAGGGAAATTAACAAGTTAACCTGTGTAAATGTACTGCCTGCTCACATAGAGTGCCATTCTATGGAAGTTTGCCTGTTACTTCATGGAGCAGTGCATATGTTTGCGTTCACTCACTGCAGTGAATCATGTCCTCGCAAGCTAATAGATAACGCTATGCAACACACACACACACACAAACACACACACACACACACACACACACACACACACACACACACACACACACACACACACACACACACACACACACACACACACACACACACACACACACACACACACACACACACACACACACACACAACCACATGCACAAGAACACACACCAAAACACATACAGCATGTGTGCACACAAACATATGGACACACACTGACACACTGACACACTGACACACTGACACACTGACACACTGACACACTGACACATAGAAATGCAGGCTCAAGCATCAGCGTCGACACAGGCAGACCACCACCCACCCAGATAGGAGGTGTTGACAGGCATTTGTCAAAACCTGTTAATAAATAAATCCTTTCAAAGACTTGTGTACACACATGCAGCAGTTCATTTGAACTATGTCTTTGTCTGTGTGTGTGCCTGTGTGTGTGTGCATGCGTATGTTTGTGTGTGTGTGCGAATGTGTTTTTGTGTTTGTGTGCGTGTGTGTGTTTGTGTGTGTGTGTGTGTGTGTGTGTGTGCATGTTTGTGTTTGTGTGTGTGCGTACGTGTGGTTGTGTGTGTGATTACGTGTGTTTTTGCATTTGTGTGTGTGTGTGGAGACAGAGAGGTCTTGATTTATTGACAGCTTATTAGCATTTGACTTGTCAACTCCCTGCATCATCCATCATTCCTGTGCCCTTCAACACACAGTAACACTAACCATAGGCAGAGAAACTCTACATTTCACAACAGACTAGCCTTTCTATTTTCCATAATCCACAAGCAGCCTATTCTTACCTCATTCTACTGACATTATTGGATTTATGCTGAGATGCACTGAGCATACAGTACCAGTCAAAAGTTTGGACACACCTACTCATTCAAAGGTTTTTCTTTATTTTCAAATTTTTTTACATTGTAGAATAATCGTGAAGACATGAAAACTATGAAATAACACATATGGAATCATGTAGTAAGCAAAAAAGTGTTAAACAAATCAGCTGTTGGCATTTGCCAACTTGGTCTTTTACCAAATAGGGCTATCTTCTGTATACCACCCCTACCTTGTCACAACACAACTGATTGGCTCAAATGCATTAAGATGGAAAGAAATTCCAAAAATTAACTTTTAAGAAGGCACACCTGTTAATTGCAATGCATTCCAGGTGACTACCTCATGAAGCTGGTTGAGAGAATGCCAAGAGTGTGCAAAGCTGTCATCAAGGCAAAGGGTAGCTATTTGAAGAATCTCAAATATAAAATATATTTTGATTTGTTTAACACTTTTTTGGTTACTACATGATTCCATATGTGTTATTTTATAGTTTTGATGTCTTCACTATTATTCTACAATGTAATTTTTTTTATTTAATCTTATTTTTAAATGTATGACCAACCAAATAAATAAGTCAGGGCCTGTATTCAAAATGTGTCTAAGTAAGAGTGCTGATCTGGGATCAGTTTTGCCTTTTAGATCATAATGAAAACGATTACATGGACATGGGGGGGACTTGATCCTAGATCAGCAGTCCTACTCTGAAACACGTTGCGAATATGAGCCCTGGTAGCTTGAATGATAAGAGAAAGCAAGTGGCACCACCTTGTGGTGGACAAATGAGTAGTTTTAAATCCTCCCCTTGCCCTGCACTTTAGATAAGCAAACACAAACCACACAGTATATAAATATATTCTCACAGAGGCTCTAGAGTTTAGTCTGTTTGTTTCTCTCATTCACACTGGAATATCCAGTTTACTTTATGTATGCTTCAGATATATGAATAGATAGATATGTTAGCATGTGGCCATTCCATACTATACCAAACAAATGAATTCTAGTGACAATGACGTACACCACTTTCTCAAAGCCATGCTTGATGGTCATCACGCAGCGTTCCTGTTCACATTTTGTATTAAATGATGCGTTTTGAATCCTCATAACAGTTTTTGCTTTGTACTGAAAATGCTCTATTTTGAATCCTTGACTTCTCACATTCATCATTTTTTGGAGATTGTATTAACGGTGGACTAATGAAAACAATACTAAAAAATAGTTTTTGAGTGTAGTACTCCTTTATATGTACTTTACTGTCTTGACCCTCCTTGTTTACCTGCGTTTCATTCTCCTCGTAACTTTAATACTCTGCTTGTTCACTTTTCCCTCTTTTTCATCCCACTAGTGGACCACACAGCATTCTGAAGTAAGTACTCCTTCACACAACACAATTACTTTTTTTTATATCAGACTTTTTTCATATTCCTTCACTTTTTGGTCCTTTTCTATTTCATATATCCTGTCTCTAAGGACAACTCCACCTAAAAGGTACAAGGAGTGGTAAAATGTGTTGGCGTTATTGGTCCTTGTATTGTCCATGTAATCATTGATGATGTGTGATAAAACTATTTCCCAATTTGGGAACAATAAAGTCCTCCTCTCCTCTCCTCTCCTCTCCTCTCCTCTCCTCTCCTCTCCTCTCCTCTCCTCTCCTCTCCTCTCCTCTCCTCTCCTCTCCTCTCCTCTCCTCTCCTCTCGAAGGAAAGAGAAACAGTAGTGATGTCTCCTGCTCTGCTCTGTTGTGTCACATGCAGGGTTCCTAGGAAGCCCATTCTGGAGACAGACATTGAGTTCTACCACGTGCCTTCCCATGGAGACGCCAGCAAGAAGCGCCTGATGGAGGACACAGAGGACTGGCGTCCCCGTAGCGGCACCACCCAGTCCCGCTCCTTCCGAATCCTGGCCCAGATCACCGGCACCGAACACCGTGAGTACCTAACACCACCAACAACACCACCACCAACACCACCACCAAGACCAACACCACCACCACCAACACCACCAACAACAACAACACCACCACCAACAACAACACCAACACCACCACCCCCACCACCAACACCACCACCACCAACACCACCACCAACACCACACCACCACTACCAGCACCACCACCCCCACCACCAACACCACCACCAACAACACCACCACCAACACCACCACCACCAACACTACCACCAACACCACCACCAAGACCAACACCACCACCAACAGCACCACCACCAACCTCACCACCACCACCAACACCACACCACCACCACCAACACCACCACCAACACCACCACCCCCCACCAACACCACCACCAACACCACCAACACCACCACCAACAACACCACCACCACCACCAACACCACCAACACCACCAACACCACCACCAACAACACCACCACCAACACCACCACCACCAACACCACCACCAACACCACCAACAACATCACCACCAACACCACCACACCAACACCACACCAACACCACCACCAACACTACCAACACCACCACCAACACCACCACCAACACCACCAACAACACCACCACCAACACCACCACCACCAACACAGCTGCTCAACCCTCTACACTCTCTTACACATACTCCTGTAGATCAATGAACACTTTACCTGAACACTACACAGGCCTTACTGAACACTTGATCTGTACATCACGCAGGCCTTAATGAACACTTTACCTGTACACAGGCCTTAATGAACGCTATACCTGTATACTAGCCTTAATTAACACTTTACCTGTATACAGGCCTTAATGAACACTTTACCTGTATACCAGCCTTAATTAACACTTTACCTGTATACAGGCCTTAATGAACACTTTACCTGTACATGGACACATTGTCTGCATCCCAAATGGCACCCTATTCCCTATATAGTAATCTACTTTTGCCCTGAGCCCTATCAGTCCTGTTCAAAAGTAGTGCACTAGTACAAATAGTGTGCCATTGATGATACATATTTTACCTGTACACAGGCCTATCAAATGAATGATGGAATTACACCAGAATACCAACCATCATTCTCTTTCTTGTGTCATTGATGGTCATTTGTGATAATGCAGTAGCTTACTTTATTATACCTAAGAAGTAGTGTTCTAATCATATAAATATAATTACTAGAAGGGGCCTTTCATTCACATTTGTGTAACAGCAGTTTAGTTTACTTTTGAACACAATTAGAAAAATGTACTTCCTGCACTACTTTTTTGTTAATGGGGACACTTCCTGCTGTACTTCCTGTTCAATGGTCCACCCATTATGACCTCATTGACTTGAATGAAGATGCCTCTTCTAGTAATTATATTTATATGGTTCTATACATGTCAATATATTTAAAAAGTGCTGATGAGTGGAGTGATGCTGTGTTATGTTCTTCTCTCCTATGCAGAGCAAGCCCAGGAGAACGATGCAGAGAATAAGACAAGGTAAGTGCTTGGCGATCGTTCTCTCTTGGTTGGTCTTCATTCGCATGGCTGTGCTGTTACTGCTGCTGTTGTTACGGTTACTATCTGGATGATGGGGTTGCGTGTGGAATCGAATAGTCACATGGGGCATTCAGTAGTCACATGGGGAACCCGGTAGTCACATGGGGCATTCAGTAGTCACATGGGGAACCCGGTAGTCACATGGGGTATTCAGTAGTCACATGGGGCATTCAGTAGTCACATGGGGAACCCGGTAGTCACATGGGGAACCTGGTAATCGCATGGGGTATTCAGTAGTCACATGGGGCATTCGGTAGTCACATGGGGCATTCGGTAGTCACATGGGGCATTTGGTAGTCACATGGGGAACCCGGTAGTCACATGGGGTATTCAGTAGTCACATGGGGCATTCAGTAGTCACATGGGGAACCCGGTAGTCACATGGGGTACCTGGTAATCGCATGGGGTATTCAGTAGTCACATGGGGCATTCGGTAGTCACATGGGGCATTCGGTAGTCACATGGGGCATTCGGTAGTCACATGGGGCATTCAGTAGTCACATGGGGTATTCAGTAGTCACATGGGGCATTCAGTAGTCACATGGGGCATTTGGTAGTCACATGGGGCATTCAGTAGTCACATGGGGCATTCGGTAGTCACATGGGGCATTCAGTAGTCACATGGGGTATTCAGTAGTCACATGGGGTATTCAGTAGTCACATGGGACATTCAACAGCAACATGGGGCATTCAGTAGTCACATGGGGCATTCAGTAGTCACATGGGGCATTCAGTAGTCACATGGGGTATTCAGTAGTCACATGGGGTATTCAGTAGTCACATGGGACATTCAACAGCAACATGGGGCATTCAGTAGTCACATGGGGCATTCAGTAGTCATATGGGGCATTCAGTAGTCACATGGGGCATTCGGTAGTCACATGGGGCATTCAGTAGTCACATGGGGCATTCAGTAGTCACATGGGGGCATTCAGTAGTCACATGGGGCATTCAGTAGTCACATGGGGCATTCAGTAGTCACATGGGGCATTTGGTAGTCACATGGGGCATTCAGTAGTCACATGGGGCATTCAGTAGTCACATGGGGCATTCGGTAGTCACATGTGGCATTCAGTAGTCACATGGGGCATTCAGTAGGCACATGGGGCATTCAGTAGTCACATGGGGCATTCAGTAGTCACATGGGGCATTTGGTAGTCACATGGGGCATTCAGTAGTCACATGGGGCATTCAGTAGTCACATGGGGCATTCGGTAGTCACATGTGGCATTCAGTAGTCACATGGGGCATTCAGTAGGCACGTGGGGCATTCAGTAGTCACATGGGGCATTCGGTAGTCACAATGTGTATTCGGTATTCACAATGTGTGTTCAGTAGTCACATGGGGTATTTGGTAGTCACATGGAGAAATCAATAGTCACATGGGGCATTCGGTAGTCACATGGTGCATGCATCGTGTGGAGATCTAAACACACACACACACACACACCACACACACTATCCCAAACGCCCTGATCCTGTTACAGTAACTCCTGCATGTTTAGTTGACCGCCAAATTAGAGGGAGGAAGCCACTTGAGATAAACCTGGCGTAGCCGGCGTTACAGTAACCTGCTTCAATCTGAGAGGTCTGACTCTGGGCCTGTGCTTAGCATAGTAGTAGTGAATGTGGGCCTAGTGGCTGGCATCAACCCACAACAAGACGCACATTTTGGGTCAGTTTTGCATTTTCACCACTAATGGTTAAGGTTAGGATTGGCGAGGGAAAGCTGATCCTAGATCTGTACCTAAGGGAAACTTCACCCTGTAGTGTGGATTAGCTGTAGTGGATCTGGTTTTCCCTTGAGAGGACAGAGTTATAGATGAGGTCATCCAAAATAATATGTGTATTCCAAATGTAACAATATTTACTACAGTTTGTTCGACATACTACCTCTGTGTGTGTGTGTGTGTGTGTGTGTGTGTGTGTGTGACTGTGTGTTTGTGACTGTGTGTGTTGCTTTCTGTGGTCATGGTTTTCTTGTGAACATGACCGTTTTGGTGATTATAGTGCTGTGGTCATGATTTGCGGTCGCATTGCAGTTTTGTCTTGGTATTCATGTGGTTATGGCAGTGCTTGATCTTGCTGTGGTCATGCCGTGGTCATGCTGTGATCATTAATGTGTTCAATTAAATAATGGCCATTGTCTTTACTTATAGAAGCATCTTCATGACTGGGGATGAGCATGTCTTCTTGATTCCGTCCCAAATGGCATCCTATTTCCTATATAGTGCACTGCTTTTGACCAGGGCCTATAGGTCTATTTGGAATGCTCAGCCTTGTGTGATGTGATCATGCTTCATGGATTGTTGTGACCAGCAACTCATTCCATTCTCATCCATTTGTCCTTTATTCAGCTTTTCGGTAACACTTGAAGTGATGTTCATGACGTATCCATAACAGTGTCTTTAGCGCATCATAAAGTGTCATAATGGCTTCTACAACTTGAGACAGTTTATATTTTGATATATACTTTTACTATATTTTGATATATACTTTTATTATATTCTCCTTTTCTTTTCTCTTCCTCTTCTTCTTGACTTTCCTCACTCCTCTCTCCCTCTTTCCTCTCTCCTCTCTCCCTCTTTCCTCTCTCCTCTCTCCCTCTTTCCTATCTCCTCTCTCCCTCTTTCCTCTCTCCTCTCTCCCTCTTTCCGATCTGCCCTCTCTCTCTTTCCTCTCTCCTCTCTCCCTCTTTCCTATCTCCTCTCTCCCTCTTTCCTCTCTCCTCTCTCCCTCTTTCCTCCTCCCTCTCCCTCTTTCCTCTCTCCTCTCTCCCTCTTCCTGATCTCCTCTCTCCCTCTTTCCCACTCTCATCTCTCCCTCTTTCCTCATCTCCTCTCTCCCTCTTTCCTACTCCTCTCCCTCTCTTCCTCTCCTCTCTCCTCTTCCTTCTCCTCTCTCCCTCTTTCTCTCTCTCCCTCCCTTTTCCTTCTCCTCTCTCCCTCTTCCGATCTCTCTCTCCCTCTCTCATCTCTCTCCTCTCTCCTTTTCTTTCTCTCCCTCTTTCCTCTCCTCTCCCTCTTTCCTCCTCCCTCTCTCCCTTTTTTCCTCCTCCTGCTCGTCCCTCTCTCCTCTCTCCCTCTTTCCTCTCTCCTCTCTCCCTCTTTCCTATCTCCTCTCTCCCTCTTTCCTCTCTCCTCTCTCCCTCTTTCCTCTCTCCTCTCTCCCTCTTTCCTCTCTCCTCTCTCCCTCTTTCCTCCTCCTCTCTCCCTCTTGTCCCTCATTCTCCTCTCTCCCTCTTTTCCTCACTCTCTCTCCCTCTTTCCTCTCTCCTCTCTCCCTCTTTCCTTCTCCTGCGTCTCCCCGTCTCCACTCTTTCTCTCTCCTCTCTCCCTCTGTTCCTCTCTCCTCTTCCTCTCTTCCTCACTGCCTCTCTCCCTCTGTTCCTCACCCTCTCTCCCTCTTTCCTCATCTCCTCTCTCCCCTCTTTGCCTCCGTCCTCTCTCCGTCTCGTTTCTCCTCCTCCTCTCTCCCTCTTTCCTATCTCCTCTCTCCCTCTTTCCTATCTCCTCTCTCGACTCTTTCCTCTCGAGTCGCCTCTTCCTCTTCCTCTCTCCTCTTTCCTCTCTGCCTCTCTCCCTCTTTCCTCTCGTCCTCTCTCCTCTTTTCCTCCTGTCGCTCCTCCTCTCCTCCTTTCCTCCTCCTCTCTCCCTCCTGCTCCCTCCTCCTCTCTCGCCTTTTCTCTTCGATATCTCCTGCCCTCTTCTTTCTCGCTCATCTCTCCTCTTATCCTCCTCTTCGCCTTCTCTTTCCTCTCGTGCCTCTCCCCTCTTGCCTCCCCCTCTCTCAGTCCTCTTTCCTCTTACCCCCATCCTCTTCCTCTCTCTCTCCTTTCCTCCTTCCGGGTCACTCCGTCTCTCCTCTTTCCTCCTCCTCTCTCCTCTTTCCTCATCCTTCCCTCCTCCTCACCTCTTCCTCTCACTCCTCTCTCCTCTCTCCAGCCTCTTTCCTCCTCACTCCTGTCTCCTCTTTCCTCCACTCCTCTCTCCTCTTTCCTCACCGGTTTCCTCTCTCCCTCCTCGTTCCTTCTCTGTCCTCCCTCCTCTCTCCTCTCCGGCCTCTCTGCCTCTCTCCTCCGATCCTCCTCCCTCTCCTCTCTCCTCTCT